TGCAAGCCACCAGAGCTACCTTTTTTATAAGAAAAGACAAATTAATTTTTTTTATGCAATCCACCACAGCTACCTTAATACAGTCAGTCAATAAAGTTTAGGTACAACGAGTTTTTTTCAATACGGGCAACTATTTTTTAAATATTTTAGTTTTCGGTAATTTTTTATAAAAATATGGTCAATTCTACAACAAAATCCCCAAAAATCAGAGTTCCAAACCTTGTGCAAAATTTAAGAAAATTCTGCAAAATAATTCACTTTCTATATACGCTCTCTAGAAAAAGTTTTTTAGCCCGTTCAATTTTAGTATAATGAAGTGCAAGTGTGAGGAATCTAGGACTTACCAAACAACAAAAAAAATTTGCTAAATATCAATGGTAAGTCCTAGCTACCTCAAACTTGCACTTTGTTATACTAAAATTGAATGGGCTAATAACTGAGTACTTAACTTTTTTCTAAAGAGTGCAAATTGCAAATACTTGGATGGAAATTCGCAGTTTTCTTTAATTTTGCATAAGGTTTGGAACTCTGATTTTTGGGGGTTTTGGTGTAGAATTGACCGTCTATATCTATATCTATATCTATATCTATATCTATATCTATTTCTATATCTATATCTATATCTATACTTCTATATCTATACTATTATATAAAATTGATTATATGGAGTACGTTTGTAACGACTTATTTCTCAAAGTACTAAACCGATTTTAATATTTTTTTTTTTAAAACGAAGCATTTGTAAAAAGGCGCAGAGTGGCATACTTATATTTTTTATTCTTGGAAGATAAGCACCCTTTTTTTGGGTGTAAAGTTACAAAAAATTACAAAGACGTACAAGCATAAGCCTATTTGGTTGCCAAATACATCGCATAGCTACGCGAAAAATCTGTACATCAGTGCCGATCAAGCACGAGCTCACAGGGGCAAAAGAGATGTGTATGAGCGACGTGACTGCGCTATACCACATACATACATACATAAGCGTATTTGAGCTAAACAGCGATCACTGATTGAACATGCTAAATACATACATATGTATGTGTGTACACATTTATAACCGAAAGGCAAAGAATCGCTTCGAAGTCATGTGCAGTATGTGGTTGACACAACATACTAATCATATGTATGTATGTATCCATGATTCAGTAATACAAGGTTCGATAAACTGACAGTTGTCTCTCTCGCACCGCTCCCTTAGCAATGGCACTGTGTTCCTTCTTTGCACATTTACATGGAAACAGTGTAGCTTTGGTGTGAAATAGAAGTATAAGCGTTTGTGCAATATGTTTATTTGTATATGCATATGAAGCATATTTAACTGATGAAAACATAAGCATTGGATGTTTACATCAGTCTCATAGTAGTCTTATTTTAATTTTGAGTCATTTTGCAGTTTTTAT